TGTGTGTGTGTGTGTGTGTGTGTGTGTGTGTGTGTGTGTGTGTGTGTTTATGTTTGCATGAGCAGGATTAGAGCTGCGGTCGAGCCATCAAACACGCTCAATCTTAAGTCATCCAGCGAGTGTGTGTGATGGGGGGCTGACGAGGGGACGGGGACCTATTACACACACTGTTACACACACACGCAGATAAAAACATAAAACCGGGAAAACACACTCCCACAAATACCATTTATGTGTGTAAATACAGGCAGAGTGTGAGCAGGAAGCTACAAAGGTAGAGACGCACACACACACAGGCTTAGTCTGGGTGATAAATCTCTCTGCTGAGGGGATCGACAATCTCACACACACACACATACACACACATCCCTGTTTCCATGGCAACCACAGCAAGATGGGAGGGGGAAGAAAAGAAAAATCGAAAGAGGAGAGCAATCATTTCATCGCTGATCAAAATTAAAGCCTGGCTTTGAGATGGAGCTGGCAGAGAAAGAAAGATGGGAGCAGGAGAGGGAGGCAGGGAGGGGGGAGGAGGGGGAGGAGCCTGCAAACGAACAAAAAGTAAAGGATCGTGGCATCAAGCAGGCTAAACGATGGAGGAGAGCACAGAGGTTCGTGTGAAGCAAAGAGTCCAAACTTCCAACATAAACGAAGTTTAAACACCTGAAACCTGCGTTTGTTATACTGCCCAGCAGGGGGCGACGCCCACGATCATAAACACAAAGGAGAAAATGAGCTCGCTGCTCACCTGATCTCTGAGCTCGCTGAACTCTTTCATGATGATTTTATGTTCTCAGGTCTTACTGAATAAAACATCTGACCGATCATGTGACTGCGGTGAGGTTACTGTCACAACTGATAACCAATCAGTGCAGGAAACAAAGGCCAAAGAGTGCAAATATTCACCCAGTTTCCCCCTTTCTCCCTGTAACCTCCGTCCAGCGTGTGCTGCAGCAGGTGGAGCAGCTAAATAAGCACGGCGGTGGGGGTGTTAAACGTAAAGGTGTTCTCTGTAATTATTTCAAAGTCTGCATAAGGTCCCGACCCCTCCATTATGAGAGCTACAGCGGGATGTCTGGTTCGTGTCTTCCGAGGAAAAGCCCGGAGCGCGGGAAAAGGTCACGGATGATCGATCTGACAGCGGCAGGGTTCAAAAGGTCACCCTCAAATCAACAGTGGCATATGGAAGAGCACTATTTCAAAAACAGCTGACATCTTTTGCATAATGGCCCGTATTTGAATGTGAAATATGATACTTTGAACAGCCAACACTTTTTGCATAATAGAGCCAGATTTGAATATGTGAATAAAATATGCTAACCTCGGCTAACCTATCATCACGGCACGCCGAGGCGCTGATGGGTAGGTGGAATGGAAACGCTGGTTTTGGTTAGGCAGTGTTCGGGCCGATCCGGGCGAGGAGGTTTGACGATGTCCGCTCGTCGTCTTTGCACCAGCAGAGAGCCGGCGTTTAAAGAAGCAAATGGCACCGCCATCAATCATTTCGGCTTCTTTTGCTTCGCTCTCCATATCTGCTCGTTCTGCACATGCTCACATACACACCACAGGGGAGATGTACAGGATCCATGCTTCACTGCAACACGGCACTGCTGTTCAGTATGCACCCTGCAGAGCATGGTATGGCTGCAGGCCTGACAGCTATTACACAGCTCAGTGTGCGTCTGTGTGTGTCTCACTGTGGACTGTGGGTCCAAAAGGGAACTCAGAGTCGATGCAGAGTAAGAACATCTCCAGTGACAGGCCTCTCTCCCTCACAGAGAGGCACAGCTACATGCCCAGTGGCGAGTACTACATGGCTGTTAGCTAGCCTAATATTATTCAAAGGCTTAAAGCCACCCGGTGGGCCCACAGTCAGATCCTCACAAACTAACAACTTGTTTTCATCTTTCCTCTTTAAAGATGTTTTTAACTTACAAACAGCAGTTACTGGTTGTCCAAAGTGGGAAGTTATTTTTTAAAAAAGTTATTTCTTTGTCTCTGGGAACAGTCCATTTACTCTCTGCAGTCAGCAAGACTTCACATCCGAGTTATTCCACATGGAAGTATGGTTTGTGCCTCTGTGGGGAGACGAGTCACCCGCACAAACAGGAAGCAGCTATGAGAAAGGAGGAAATGGGGCACTTTGAACCAATCCACGATTCCTATAGTGCGCCAAAGCATCCTCGTCACCCAGGCCTGCAGACCAGGGACAGACCAGACCAAAGAAAGTCTTCTTCTGCCTTGGAAACTTGGAAACTGAGAATGTTTGCCTTCAAAATAAAAGTTGACCTTACCAGTGCCACAAACATGCTTCAAAAGGCACTTATATTGAAGGGCACCAAAGAAATCTCAAGCTTTTTGGTGTAGCATGTTCTTCGCCACTGAATTCAACCAATGACAGAAACCTAGGGGAACCGTTCACCAACCGGTTGGGTTGAATCCATGTTTTTCCCTGGTGACTGCAGGTCGCCCAGCAATCTGCATGGCTGCGTGCCTGAGACGTAAATCTGTTTCATCACCTAAACCAGGGGTGGGGGAACTCCAGGTCTCGAGGGCCAGTGTCCTTGGTTAAAAGACCTCCTCAACAGTTCTCCAGAGGCCTGGTGATGAACTAAACATTTGATTCAGGTGTGTTGACCCAGGGTGAGATCTAAAACCTGCAGGGCATGGCCCTCGAGGCCCGGAGTTCCCCACCTCTTACCTAAACTAACAGAGAAGTCTCGATGCATGAACACAGCCAAGTAGTTTTACAGGTTAACCCGACCAAGAAATCCTGCTGCCTCTACCAACTGAGTAGCTGTGCTGCTTAAACCTAAACACACGTGGAAGATCACGCAACCTTTACATGAGTGGAACTGTACCGAAAACAAGTAAATACCAAACATCCTGACGAAACTGGTCCCAGTTCTTGAACTGGTTGAGAACATGATTCCAGCCCAGACATCTGGCAGTAGCTCCGCTGGAGCTGTTGACTGACCAAGAAACACAGCGATTGGAAGAAGAAACCAAAGTAATGCAGACTGGATCCCGAATCACACACGTCGCTACATGCTTTTAGAAATACTGACAGTGTGGAGAGAGCCGCCTTTCTCAGAATAAACTGCGTGATTGGCTGGTCCAAAGAACACAATGAGTAGGCGGTCCTTCAAGGCGGCCCAGGACACAGTGAACCGCCTCTGAATGAAGCCTCAGGCATCAGTGCAGCGTCACCCGAGCGCCTTCGGGGCGCCTTCGGAGCACTGCGTAGAGCGATCGGCGTCCTCTCACAGGTGCTGTGAGCAGGTCTCTGTGGGGTCATACGCTTTACATTTTTATGACCGGCTGCATGTTTCGGGTTGTCGTGTCACGCTGGATAAACCTGGAGTGAGCGACTGCAGATAAGTGCATGAGACTTTTGCATAGCTCTGCTGCCTGTTCTCAGTTTTTATGTCCTTCAGCACCAGCAACCATGGTTACGCTCCAGCGCTGTGAGCCCTTTAATTAGAGACAATCACACTCTGAATTCTATTGTTGTAAACCGATGACTCTGACTTTATTGACGAGCTCCACATGGCTTTAGGAATCAAAAATGTGCGAGTAAAGCTGAATTACTGACATTTTAGTTATTCTGACATTGAGCTGGATCCTTTCTGGACTGTTTGTGTACACATCACCAGCTCCAATCTGCAGGATAATTAATCTGCTGTATATAATTATGTGATATTTGTTACAGCCCACATGCTCCACTCTGTGAGCTGATGCACATTTTGCACACATTGTTCATCTCTGCAACAATGCTGCCCAGCTCTCACTAACGACCTGTGGCATAACTGAAATAAGACCTTTTAAAAATACATTAATGAAACAGACCTGCCTAAAAAAAAAAAAAAAAAAAATCACAACAGCAGCTCAGTACAGCAGGGATTACTCTGTGAATAATGTAAAAGCAAAGGTGCAGTGAGAACAGCCGGCTGAGGAGGAGTGAGAGTGTGTCAGGATTTTCCATTAAACACAGTTTTCTGTCCCCGTATCAGAGCCGAGTATTCCATAATTTACATAATGCTGCATATTACATCAGTACAAAGTGGAACAGGCATCATATATGTTTTATAAGCAGCACTATCTTTGCTTTTTTTTTTTTTTTTTTAAAGAAAAAAGCTATGCATCTGGGAGGCAAGAGGGTGCTGTAGAGACCAAGCTCCTCTCCAGGGTGTTAGATAACCAGCTCGAGGCGTCTGCTGCTGGTGGAGCTGCACTCCCTGTCCTTATTTTAGAGAAGAGGAGAAAAAGAATGCTATAGTCACACCAGAGAACCACTGTTGACTGAATGCACAACCAAAATTATTGCCATCGTGCGCAATTAGCTTGCAACCGGTTTAGAACTGGTCTGCATCTGGTCTGTAACCGGCCTGCATCCAGTCTGTAACCCACCTGCATCCAGTCTGTAACCCGTCTGCATCCAGTCTGTA